ATTTGCTATAAGGAAACTAAATATAGAGCTGCAATGACACATTCAAGCTTTTACTCTGTGCCAACTAATGTATGTTCTTAAGTGGCATCCCCCCCCACACACTTAATACCAGACCTATAATCTAAAATCAACTTATAATGAGAATGGGCAAACTAATTTCTGTTACTTTACATAAATAATGATGGCTTAGTTATGTTGTTATTATAAACCCGTCTCATTTGTTTCCTTAGATATAGTGGTATCATTCATTTGAAAAGATGTTTTCTCTAGTCCACAGAGCATGTGTGGCATTTATCTACTGGGTTTCTGTGAGTTGAGATGAAAGAAAGTGAAAGCCCAACATCAGAGAGTGACGTCTTTCTGAGGAGAAACAGTCAGGTTTTGTTCTGGACTGAAATTGCAGGTTTTCTTGTTGTTGATCTGCCCTCTGATCTATAACAATTCAGTTTTATTGATGAAACATCAACACAAGAATTACGTCTGCTTTCCCTAGGATGATTATTTTTTCCTTGTTGAATATTGGTGTGAAATCTTGGGAAGACATTCATTTGTTCTTTGATCTTCCAGAACTGACATGAAGACATGCTCTTTTAGCATTTTAGAACACACTGAACTATTTTTATGTGGTCAAAAAGATGAACATTTGATGTCTATGTTTACCTATTCTTCTGGGACTTTGAAAAACGTATTTATTTAACTGTTTTATTTCTATAATTCAGAAGAACATTGATAATTACCATTTTATAAAAAAATTTATAGAGGCACTTTATGTAATGTAATCAGGGATGTCTAACACCTGGCTTTTACCTATCAAGTAAAAAATTTTCAATTAATTGATTTAGTGCCCTCAAAACAAAAGTAAGCTTGGTAATCATATAAAATACTAATTATTTAATGTTTTCTCTCTAATTAATGCCAAATCTTAATTGCATCACAATCTCTGATACTGAGCGGCACACTGGCGCCGGCGGAAAGGAAAAACTTCCTTGTACCAGGTAGAAACCTCCAGCAGAACCAGGCTCAGGATGTGTGGGGGTTAGGGAGGACAGGAAAGGGACATAGAGGGATTGGTCCAAAGAAGACCACAGATTAAATAACCTCCAACTAAGTTTCCAGCTTGATACAAAACGAGAACTAAAACAGAGAAGAGATATCAACCAACTGAACAGCCAAATTTAAAAAGATTAAGCTAACTTTTTCAAAATGTTTAAAGTTTCAATACAGTAGAAGAAAAAATAAATTGCTCTAAATCATAAAGAACAAAAAACATAAAAAACAAAGCTGAACTGCAATTTGAGGATAAGATAATAAATAATTATAATCCACTGCTGTATGGTGTAAGGCGAGTATTATATCATCTGGTTCCCCCTTGGATGTTGTCCCCCTCCCATCGACTTCTAAAAGAGATCTGTCCTATTCTGCTGGACCAGTAGCAGTTTATCCTCAGGTGTGGTGCCAAAAAGCTTTAAACATGTTGCTGTTCAACCTTTGCTGGGAAAAAAAAAGCTAACCTTGATCCCTCAGTGGTGTTCAACTTTAGGCCTGTCTCTAGACTCCCATTTGTTTCAAAACTACTGGAAAAAATAGTTGATTCCCAGTTAAAAAGTTTCCTGGAGGATTACTCTATTTTAGAAGTGTTCCAATCTGGCTTCAAATCTCTCCACAGCACTGAGACTGCTCTATTGGGGGGTTTTAATGCTTTTTTCCTAGCCTGTGCTTCTTGATCCATTGGACCTTACACCTGCTTTTGACACCATTGACCAGGAGATCCTCATTTCTAGGCTGGAGCAGTGGGTGGACATCACAGGGTCAGCTCTTAAATCACAGGTGTCAAACTCCAGGCCTCGAGGGCCTGGAAACTTTTAAATGCGTCTCTGATGCCACACAGCTGAATCAAATAAGGAGGTCATTAGCAGAACTTTGGAGAACTTGACTGCACTGAGAAGCTAATTCAGTCATATGATTCAGCTGTGTGGCATCAGAGCCACATCTAAAAGTTGCAGGACTCCGGCCCTCGAGGCCTGGAATTTGACACCCCTGCCTTAAATGGTTTAGGTCCTACCTCTCTGACAGAACCTTTTGTGTCCACATCAAAGATTTTATTTTAACATCGGCCGCTCTTCGGTGGGGAGTACCACAGAGGTCCATTCTCAGTCCTCTTCTATTTTCTTTATACCTGCTGCCATTTGGTGCTATTTTTCGTAAACACGGCATATCTTTTCATTTTTACACCGATGACTGTCAAATTTACTTCCCTATGAAGCAGACTGGTGCACGTTCTATCCAACCTCTTCTTGACTGCCTTGCTGACATCAAGGATGAGATGGCTTTACATTTATTACATTTTAATGAGAAGAAAACAGAAGTCATGTTGTTTCCACCTAATGGCACAATCAAGAACCACTGCATCAACCTTTCCTCTCTAGCCCCATTAGAGAAACAAGTGGTCACTAATCAGGGAGTGAAAATGGACCCTTCCATGAAACTAAACAGTCATGTCATGTTGTTGTTTTTTTGTTTTTTTTCAGTTGAGGCGGCTATCTAAATTTAAGCCCATACTGTCCAAAAGTAATCTTGACTATAATATTATTCTGAATAAGAATAAGAAGGCCGCAATAATTATTTATAGCCGCAGCTTCGTGCACTCCGCCCATCTTCGGACAACTGTACGTACATATTCGCGTTGTATCTCGGTGCAATGCCAATAAAGTTTATTCTGATTCTGATTTACACAGTAACACATGCATTCATTACATCCATACTTGATTACTGCAACGTGCTTCTTTTTGGAATCAGTCAGACCTCTATTGCACATTTAGAACTGGTTCAAAATGCTGCAGCCTGATTTTTACAGGCAAAAGAGAGCACATTACTCCAGTTCAGGCCTCTATTCACTGGCTCCCGGTTAACTTACAAATTCAATTTTAAAACCTTCTGTATGATTTTAAATCTCTGAACAGTTCTGCCCTTCTTCTCTCACGGATCTGCTGCAGCCATATGTCCCACAGTGCTCTCTGAGGTCAGCAGACCAGATGTTTTTATTTGTTCCAGGCACTCGTTTTATGATCAGAGGTGACAGGACCTTCTCTGTTGCAGGTCCAAAACTGTGGAATGAGTTACCTCTGCATGTCAGACAGGCTCCTCTCTCACTGTTTTTCAGTCTCATTTAAAAACTCTCTTTTATTCCCTGGCTTTAGACACTGTGTGCGTTGCTTTTAACTTGTCTGTATTCTATGATGTAAGTCATTTAGTTCTTATCTTTACCCATTTGGATCTACGTATTTTATCCTGTGTCCTTTGCTTGATTCATTTTTTTTGCTGTACAACACTTTGGTTGGCCTTGTTGCTGTTTTAAGTGCTTTATAAATAAAGTGGTATGGTAAAGTTAATGCTTGTGCACGTGTGTTCGTGTGTGTGTGTGTGTGCGTTTGTCTGTCACCATGTACAGCTACAATGGATTAATGTTTAGGGTCAACCCAATTAATAATGGCCACTAGACCCTGACCAAAGACCTTAGTAAACACAAAAAAGGCCTAAACTAGGTCAATTTTACAGATCAGGTAAAATTAGATGTGTTTGTAGCTGAGAATCATCTCCACCATATACAGTGATCCCTCACTATAATGTGGTTTATTTTTTGTTGCTTTACTATATCACGGGCTTTTTAAACCCATTTTTTTTATTGTGTGCACTGTACATGCTGTGCAGTACTGTTCATTCATCTCATCATCATCGTCTTCATTGCGATTGCCAAAGTGTTTAAGAGCATGTAAGTGTTTATAAGAGAGTGGAAAAAGTTAATAAGAGTGTGGGAAGGGTTTATTATGCCGTAAATATATATAAATAGTAAAATAAATATAATGTTGGTGTGAATTTTCACTTACTGCAGGGTTCTCTGGAACGTGACCCACGCGATAGATGAGGGATCACTGTAAGTTTTAACTGATCATATAATCATTGTATGAAACTACTGTTAACTTTTGGAGTCATCTTTGATTGTCTGCAAACAAACATTTAATGAAACTGGATGGATTTTGATGAAACGTTCAGAAAGTAATCACCACTTGTGCATCTACAGCTGATTAGTTTTTGGAGTCAATTCAATTCAAGATGGCCATCACAGCTAATGGACCTCTGCAAACACATAAAAGTCTATCATTTAGTTAATTTTACAAATAATGAGCTAAAACCTGGTGTGGTAGAAACATGTTTTAATGTCAACAGTCAACATTATTGCACAGCATCTTCCTGCTTTTAGGACAGAGAACCAGATTTTGCACTAGCGAGCACAGTTATCCCTTAAACATGTCTCAGGATGAGACACGCAGCATACTGCACAGGGCATAACATGTTTACTTCACACATCATTTATTTCTACAGCATACTTCTATATTTGCTGCTCAAAGCAGTTATCTTCATTGCAAAGCCAAGATCAACACAGTCGTTTCTCTAATAGCAGGATGCATTAAATATGTTGTGAAACTGTTTATAATTGCATCTATCAATAGATAATATGTGACATTGCAAATTCTCAATCAATCGAGGGCAGGGTAGTTGTCAGGTGTAGATAATCTGACAAGCACACGCTAAAGCATTCACATAAAGCTCAAATGACTGCTGGTATGAAATTTTGATGCTACTGCCAAATAATGTCTGAGGACGTGAGAATATTTCTAATCACCTGCACTGCTGGCTAACTTAATTGAAATTGGTAGCGCGCACAGAGCAGCAGTCTAAAAGCTCAATGAGCAGGTTCTGCCTTCCAGCACGATGCAATCAATAACACCTGACAGCACAACCTGCCAGACTCCTACAGGTGAGTCACATCCTTTCTTCAGACCTCGAGAATTAGTATCTGTTGCCCTTTTTGTATTCAGGTCACAAAACTATTAAACTGAAAATAGTTCACTGTCAGGTTGTCCCACATCTGCACCAAATCCATCAGAAGTGCCAAACTCAACTTGTTAAGGTGTCAGACTAATCGTGAACACAGCACTCACCGACAGCCTTCAGCGAGGCGTATTTGTTCAGATCCTTGTTTTGCTGCTGCTGCTGCTGCTGTTGTTCGTAGACGTGAGCCAGCTGGCTGAGGGCCGGGTACGGGTGCGGTTGGCCAACGTTTGAGCTCGCTCCCACATTGTTGTTAATCTGGCCACTCTCTGCAGACAAGGACAGAGAATGGGACAAGGTTAAAATCATGTTCCAAACCCCAGCCTCGCTGGCTGACATGCACTGGGCTAAAGGTTTGCTACGAGGCGACATGACAGGAACAACTCTCGTGTACCATTTCCAACATAACACAACTTTCCTGTTTTTATAGTGTTGAATCTGATACTTTATAAGTACTATTCAGGTTCCAGGTTGTTGTAAATTAGTTTTGTCATTTTCAAAATACAGTTTATTACCTAAAACACAATATAATGTATAAAAATATTATTTAACACGTGAGATTACAAATTAATCGTGCATGTCAATTCATGTTAGAAATTGATAAAGTAGTTGCTTGGTTAACACAAATTAATTTTTATTTCAAGCATTTTGAACTGGGATAATCAGTTTTTCTTATACTAATGAAGGACAATTTGAAGACTAAACAACCTTTTTTATTGAGTTAAAAATCATGATTTTAGTTGACTATAACCTAAATTACAATACATTTTTTAACAAAGATATTTCGCCATACAAATAAAAGACTTGATCTCCATAAATAAAAAGTTGTATCAGTAAAGTTGGCTATGATAATTATAGAAAATATGTGATGTTTTTGTTTAACAAAAAAAGAAATTTATTTATGAGGGTCACAGTCTTTAAGGGGAAAATGACAGTCATTTAAACTCTGTTTAAACTCTCAAATAATTGTAAATGATTTATAGTTTGGTTTTTGAGGGCTTAAATGCTGGAATAAAGAAAATTCTCTTACGGAGATTTTTTTTTAAAATGCAACTGAGATTTGTATAATTCATTTTTATTTTTATATATTTGTTTGAGTTTGTATTTTTATTCAGCCCTGCTGCAAGTAATATTAAAGCAGAAAGTCAATGATCACACGGTTGTGAACAACCATTAAACTTTATTAAATGAAAAGTGTTAATAAGTAAACTTTTCAATTTTAGCCTTACTGTTAGTTTGATTAATTGTCTATTGATCCATCAAGGTTGTTGATTTTTTGTTTTTTTAAACAAATATCCCTTTTGGATTTTTAAAAGGGATTTTTCGACTGCATTTACCAATAAACCTGATAATAATAATAATAATAATAATAATAATAATAATAATAATAATAATAACAATAATAATAAATACTTTAAAACACCCACAGCTGCAACAAAGTGCTGTACACATAAAATCAAGAAAATTTAAACACATAAAAATAAAAAAAATTGTTAAAACATTAAGATCAATAAAAACAATAAAAATAGTGCAGAGCAAAATTCAGTGTGTGCTAAAAGCCAGGGAGTAAAAATGTGTTTTTAAAAGAGTTTTAAAACTTGGCAGTGAAGAAGCTGGTCTGAGGAGAAGAGGGAGATCGTTCCACAGTCTTGAAGCAGCATCAGAAAAAAACTCTGTCCCCTTTCAGCCTGTTTGGACCTCAGCACCTCCAGGAGCAGCTGATCAGCTGATCAGTTGATCTGCGGCACCGAGCAGTGTCAGATGAATCCTGAACACACAGCGCTCACCTACAGCATTCAGCGAGGCGTATTTTGATTTTTCAAGACTTTTTATTGTTTTTTAGACACTAATCACTCTGGATAAAGACCCCGATGTAAAAAAAACAAAAAAACAACAAGAATGAGAAAAGTCTCTGCAGGGTTTTGATGAGGTCTTCATGTACAGTGGGTTTTCCACCACATGGAATAGAGCACAATAGGTCTTAATGGGTTTTGCGCATTCACAGAACTTTTCTATTGTTGTGACTGATCCTAGTGGTGACAGTAGGTCCTGGGTGGAGTGTAGTGGCAGTGTATCTATGGCGTGGGATTTGCAGGCCTGCATGGGTCGGTTATCAGGAAATAGATCAGTAATGGTCATGCTGACCATGCCTAGATTACATCCATAATCATGACAAGTTCATAGAAACAGCCTAGCATATGCTTGATACCAGTGGTTGTAACACTGTGTGAACTAGCGCGTCAGAATGTGTTGTGCCAGAGTGGCTATGTAGAGACGAGACCAAGACAAGGTTTTAGGGATGAAGAAAATAGCAAGAAAACAAAAGTACTGGGCAAGTTTAAGTAGTAATGCAGAATTATAACTGCCTTCATACTGAAGATGCTTTATCCAAAGTTAATGCCTTCTAGCTGGGTTCTAATTGGTATGTGCAGGTTGTGGAGTGGAGTCATCATCCACTGCGGAGTGAGCCTCAGGTGAACAACCCAAACCTGCCCTATTGCATTAATCATTACCAGTAACATAAACTCAATTCACATCTTAGCCCTAGCCCGTACTCCTGATTCACAAATGACATTTCATTGCATAAAGAATGTTCTTTGTTCCTCATAGGGATTAACAATCCTGACATGGTAGGTGAATGTACCATAAAGATTCTAAAAGCTAACAAAAAGCAAGTACACATACACACATGCAGACCAGTAGAGCAAGCTTTTATTGTCCAAGGTTCAAGATGTTACCCTGTGTGGCAGAGTGAAGATAATACCTTTAATCCCTGCAAAACCTACTAGACATTTACACTCCACAGAGTTAATCTGCTGATACTGAAATGAGAGGTGCATGTTCAACCATCAGCAGAGTTGAAGTACTTGAACGTGCTTGTTACAGCAGTGAGCAAATCTTATTTTACAATAATGAAAAGAGTTGCACACACAGTTTGTTAACCACTTGTTGGCTTCACATAACTTATACACAGTAAATGTTCATATCTGTGTAGTTTCGCCTGAAACTCTTAATGATTGTGTTACCTTTTTTTTTTTCCTTGTCCTGTTCGCCATTGTGACGCTCAGAATTATTGTCTGAGTGTCAAAGTGATGCCCAACAGATTCACTTTCACAAGCAGAGCATTATGGCTGACCTTAATGATCCACTTCATATATAAATTACATTTTATTAGAATTTGCTTTGGTTTTGTTCCATATGTAATGGACATGGGGATGAAAAAACAAAGAAGATAACAAAGCAGAAAAGTGAGAGAAGGGTTAAAAGGTAAAGAAGGAGATAGGAATAGAGAAGAGAGAGAGGTATAAAGAGAACACAAATCTACATCATTGAAGTCTGACTGTAGACCTGCGGAAAGAGAAAAAAACGACAAAACCGAGAAACCACAACAACAAACAACATATATAATGATACTTATAACATTATTAGAAAGTATTTTATACGGTACATGGTAATACAAGATATATTTAGTGGTCTCCACAACCCAACTGAGTGTGTATCTGATAAACACCTGAATCTAACCACCTGTGTGAGCATGCTTATCACTATAAGTTTCTCCATAAGAATGTTCAATAGTGGATGTGGGGACCCACAGACCCGTCCCCACAGGACATGATGGTAACACAGGGAAGACCGGAACCACAGACACACAGCGGTCAGCAAATATTGACACACCACAAGACAACATGTGAATTTTGTAATGCGCATTTAACAGCACTGCATCTTCATTCAATGCAAACACATAAACATGTGCAGCTGTTGCTCTGCGTATTGTTTTTGTACTATTAGTGCTTAGCGTATTCTTAGATTGGCGTATTTCTTAGTTCATATCTTAGATCTTATTACTGTTTTTTCTTTACAATTTATACTTTTGCCATTTGTAACTGGGATCCTGTTTATACAATTTCGTTCCGAACGACAAAAATAAAGGAACTTTGACTTTGACATAAGAGCTGTGCATTGCTTGTGCCAGTTCAAGTTGCCACCACACGAGTTCCTCGCAACCAGAGCCTTTTGTTTCTTTACATCAACTGTTTCCAACCATTAATTTACAATTCATTAGTTTACAATAAATCATTTATGTAGCGAAAGTTGTGTCCAACGTAACTGGCGATGAACAGCCATCCTTTGGTTTCCTCCCACCTTTGTAAGGAACTCTCGTGAGGGTTTGGACCAAGATCACAACACAACAG